TTTTCACAGAACTCGAACGGTTCGAGTTCTGGGATTTTGGAAATTCACGTGATTTTACTGAAACTTCACAGAAATTTTGGAAATCGAAGTGATTTGGGATGAAAATTGAAAATTTTGAAAATCGCTCCTTCTTATATCAAAATCTCAGAATTACAAAAGTTAAGAAATTAAAAATCTCAGAATCTCCAAATCTCCCAATCTAAAAATCCAAAAATCCCAAAAACTTGAATTTTAAAAACCTTATAATCTCAGAACTTATTTTAAATTCTAAGTATTTGTTTTAGATACTAAATACTTTTAAACTCAGAGTAAAGATAAGGATCTCAGGATCACAAGATATCCGAAGTTTGGAGTCTCGGATTCTTAGAATCTCTAACTCTCCAAATTAACTCTCCAGATATCTCCAAAATTCGGAGTCTCAGAATCTCAGAATGTTGAATTCTTCAGATACTGCAATCTTAGAATCCCTCGAATTTTTAATTTCGAAGTCTAACTCAAGAATCTCCAAAACTCTGATTCTAAATATTGAAGTATCTCAGAATCTCAAAATCTCAAGATCTAAAGATTTCTAAAGTTTGGAGGGCTAAAATCTCAAACTAGCAAAACCTCAGAATTTCAGAATCTCAAGATTTAAAATTTCCTCAGAATTTCGAAATCCCGAAATTTTTAAATTTTTAAATTTTTGAATTTCAGAGCTCCAAAAACTATGAATCTGAGAACCTTTCAAAAACTCAGAACCTGAATAATCTTAGGATTTCAGTTTCTAAATATTTTACACTATCAGAATCTCGATATTTCTCACATTCGGAGCCTCAAAACCTTAGAGTCTCATGAACTTAAAATTTCTGAATCACAAAAAATGGAAATCTTAAAAATCACATCACCTTAATATTTTCAAATTTAAAACATGAAAGTTCCAGAATCTTAGAAACGGATTTGTAAAATTATACTTTTAAAAATTTTGTCTCTGAATATTATAACAGTTTTTCAATTTCACATTTTTCAGCCATACACCAATGAATCATCGGAAATTTCACCTGAAATCGAAAAGAAGACATCATTGGGTAACGACATGTCTCATCGAGCAGCAACAACCGCCAGCGTGCCAAAGGTAA